ACAAAATGTAGCATGCAATAAATGCTACTCCACATCATGCTTTTTTTAGCTTAATATATATGGGAGACTTTTATATCAGTACATAAAGAACTTCTTCATGCGCAGTACTCTATAATCATTATAGACATACCAAACTTTATTTAAGAACTCCTTTGTTGGAGAATGTTTAGATGGTATCCAATCTTTGACTACTATAAACATGCTTGTACATATTATATTTCACACATGCGACTTTATCTCTGGGAGAAATTGGTTGGGATCCACTGATCATTTGCTCCTTTAGTTGCTTGATGGCTATGAGACCACAGTACTATGTGTGGAATAAAAGATTCTAGGAGGCCTAGCCATGCCTAATTACTTGGATGTCACAGGATATTAAGCTAGAAGGAATTTTAGAGATCCCAGATAGGACCATGATCACACAGAGATTTAAAAGCAGGTCCAGGATTATAACCCACAGTTCTACTCCAGTCTATAATGTAGCTATTTTTACTATACCACTGTACCATCTGGGAGAGCTTAGGCACAGCATGATTTCTGTCCTAACAAGTAGGACATTATTTGGCCTGCTGTGATCTTACTGTCCTGTCTTTACCTGATTTTCTCATTTCAAGGTCTGACTTTGCCAGTTGAATTTACCTTACTTTCTTGTTTTGACTTTCCCCCACTAATAACTCCATCTATTTTTTTAAATTAAGCCCAAGTCCTTTTTGATTTGGTGACCCTTTAGTAGGAAAGCCAAGTAGGAGAGGCAGAATGCTGGGGAGATTATCTAGTAGTGACACAAGATTCATGATCTTATCTGTTGTTTTCTACTCTTAGCTTGTCCACGCAGTTTAGGGGAGTCCTGTTTCCCACTTCACATGGCTCCTTCCCTTGGTACCTCATGCTTAGCCTTAACGTCCAACAAGTGTTTAATGTGCCTAATAAAAAAGAACAAGAAAATGTGGGCAGATAGCTTAATTCTTACTGACCTGTATTAAGAAGCAAAGTACAGGTGATATTCTTTGTGAGAAGTACAAAGAAATTAAGGGTGGGCTTTGGCATCAGAGACAGATCCTTTGTGCAGAATGACTCTTCAGTTTATACTAACCGTGGCCCGGACCACAGAGGTGTTAACTGCTGCCAATATTTATGAAATGCACACTATGATGGTGGATAAAATCATTCTAGGAACAGAGTGTAATAGATTGTAGTTGTATTCAGGGTATGATCTTCTAGGCACCAGCATTGCTTGAAGGATGGGGCCCTGGAGTTGCATGTAGTCTCCCCCAAAGAGAATTACTGTCTAAGGAATGGAAAATTGGGAAGGTAGTCATAAGCATTTTAATTGGGGGTGACAGGAGCTGACTAGCAATTCCAGGTGGCATGCAGTTACTTCATTTGAGAAGACATAAGACTCAGTAGGTGCCCCCTCCATGCTCCCAGACTCAGTGTTTCTAACATGACTTATCATGCTGTGTGATAATTGACTCTTTTGTCCCTTTTCTTTATAAATGTAGAGGGTTCTCAGTGACAAGCAACAGATGGCTAATTTAAGAAGGAAGTGTTTGTCTTGAAAATATAGCAAATTGCTCACGGAATCACAGACTGGACTGGAGAATCAGACTCAGGACCACCCAGCCCGCACTGCAGCTGACATGGCACTTCTGCCGCCACTGCTGGGCACCATTAGCGTGTTAGCTCAGGTCCTTGGAGGAGCTGATACCCAGCTGGGATAGGACATGCAAGAGATTTAATGGGAGAAATGCCAGTGAGGAAAAATAGGGAAGGTGCTAGTGGAGGCTGGGTCAGCTGTGAGGCTGTAGTATAAACCTGATCTTTATGGGTGAGAGAGGGAAAGAAGATTGGGTAGGAAAAGTCTTAGACTGAAGTGCAGTGCTATGAAGCTCAGCTAGGATGATGGGGAATCCTTTTGCCAAGGGAGCAGGTACATCATCCTGTTTAATCTCAGAAATGGGCCTGACTTAGTATCCCTGCCATGCTCAGTGGACTGGGAGCAGTGTGGCCTCGAAGCATAGCAGCAAATATTGAGTTGAATTTACAACCTAGCATCTGGGGCAAAGATCAGTTACACTCCCTGCAGTAGGTGATATAAAAGTTTGGGGACTATGCAGTGGTAATGACTCTGCTAATATCACTGAATTTTGCCTTTCAGTTCTTCCACTGAATTGTGTACCACATTCTGCTCCTGAGAGGCCTATGAGCAGTGTTCTGTAGGCTGTGGTGGCTTTGAAAGCTCAAACTCCTCCTGAGCCTTACATGCCTCACAGGGGTTCTGAATGTGGATAAAGATGCCAAAAAAATTTTAGACCAGATGGTTTTTAGACACATTCTCTGTTACTATTGAGTTGAGGGGTGAAGGTGAAAGATAGGGGGATAAGGAGTCAAACCTCGAGTCTCCCTTTTTTGTAGATTGGCAAGGAGAGGAGATTGCCCCGTGAACACTAACATTCAGGGGGCATCCTAGGGGTATCATCTCAAATGACCTGTCTTTGGAAGGTCAGGGGTCTTTAATGGGGAACGGGTTCCTAGGCCTTGGCAGTCTCAGAACTGTCAATATTTCTAGCATTTCTAGTCCTAAGTAGAGTAACAGGCTGGAGTCTAGAGAATTCCTGAAAGAGGATAGAGAGTTGAACAGAAACAGGGCAAAATTCTCAGTTTCTCCCGGCAGGGCAAAAGGAACAGGGAAATAAGAGACCAGAGGATTTAGTGACCTAAAGCGCCAGAGAGTCCTAGGGCTGAAAATAGAGAAGCTGGTGGGTGAGGGGGATCAGATGGCGGAAAGTTACTGGTCTATACCAGCCATGGGGAAATGACACACACAAAAAGTGTAACAGTAGGGGCTCTGTCTTTAAAGAGCTTAAGGTAATTTAATTGTGGAATAAAAAAATTAATATACTTAAAATAATTTGTAATTTGGTGCAAAACCGTGGTATTGACCAAAAAAAGAACAAAAAAACAAAAAACCCACACGCAAGTACTGTAGGTATTCAGAGAATGGACAGATCATGTGGGCTGGTATCCTCTGTGATCTAATGGCTGATGGAGGCAGTGGGTGATCCAAAGGACTTTATGCCTCAGCTAGAGTGGCAACAGCTTTTAGAGATGAGTGTGCCGAGTCTTGCATAGTTTACTGGAGGAAGTATGGGTGAAGAATCTTCATCATCATTTGTCAGTCACGACTGTCATCAACAAGTGCCATAATAAACATTAATTGAACATCCCTTCCAGAATTTACCCTCTTGTAGGAGAAGCAAAGCAAACACAGAAAGAGCTGAAGGACTAGTGCAGGAGAGCAGGTGGCAGTAGCATAAAGTCAGAGGGAAAAGTGAGGGTTGGGGAGGTGAGAGAAGGCTTCCTGGAGGAGGTGTACTTGAATTGACCCTTGAAGGACGGTTAGGGCTTGGATTAATGGAGAAAAGAGTAAGAGCACTGTCCATGGCCCCACCGAGGCACAGAGGTGGGGGTGAGCAAGACCAACCTGATTAAGTGAGAAAACCCTCTGGACTGGAGCAAAGGGTATGTGATAGGGTAACATCGGTGATGAAGCTGGAGAGGTAAGTAGTGTGGTTATTTTTACAAAGGAGTCATTTTGGAACAAAGGAGTCATTTTGGAACAAAGTAGGAAGGCACTGTACATTTGTATGGGGGGGGGTGACAAGCTCACAGGCAAGGAGGAAAGGCGAAGAGCAAAATGTTGAGGAGTTGCCACAGCCCTTCATTCTCCCAGGTTAGGGTGACCAACATTTCTATCCAGCAAACTGAGATGAGTCGGTCACCCTACTTGAGAACTACCTTGAGAAGCGTTTCCTAAAGAAGCCCTAAAAAGCCCTACACCCCACACCGTCGGAAAGTCCCAACCAGTCCACACTATGTGCGCAGTGTTCTGAAATAGTGTTGACCTCCCTTGTGAAACAGAAAGGAGGAAGGATGAGCTTGCTACCCCAGCTGCTAGCACAGGTGCAGACCAAGCTGGGACTTCTGCTGCAGAGGCAACAAGCTTTAGATGTTGCTCTGTCCCTGAATCAGCCCTAGGAAAAAGAAGTGACAATTGCAGAAATCTTAAAAAACAACACAAAACTAAGTCTTTCTCAAGGCCATCATTTCAGTGGCTGCTCCTTGGCCACTCACATGGATTCTTTCTACTGACTTTCTGCAGCAAAAGGAGATTAGCACAGCCTGCTACATTTATATTATTATCAGGAGACAGATGTTTTCTTTTTTTCTCTGGGGTTTAGAATTATGCAAATGAAGGCATGAAAACAAAAGCTCAGTGAGGTGGGGGAGGATTGCTCTTAAAAATCCAGGCAATTTTCCGAGCTCCTTAAGACACCCCTCTCAGTTTTTACTAACAGCTCTGTTGGCTCCTTGCCAGTCTATTTAGCATTTGGCACTTCTTCAGAACCTTCCAGCCAAAGACCTGAAAGTTTATTCTAAAGTTCCTAGCTTGGCCTCATTTTGCAAGTGGAGAAATCAAGGCATATAATAAGAGCTTTCAGTGCCTGTGGGCTGACCTTGAGTCTTGACACCGAGGCTCCCCCCACCCCACTCCCGTTCCTCTTAATCTTCCCTCTGCTGCCTACAACCTTGCCTGGAAAGGAAAGGCTATATATATGACCCGCTTGCCTCCCAGGTCTCTCCCCCTACCCCCACCCTGTGACCCCGTGGTAGTTATCTGGAGGGCAATAGGACCTAGCAAGCTTCAAACCTGAGGCGGCGGGAAACACACCTGCCTACCGCGTGGGTTGAGTGAGTGTGGGAGCCGGGAGCGAGCTAGTCGGGGAGGATGGGGTAGAGGTGGGCGTCTGCTGCTGGTTGAAAAGAGGAAAGCTGTGGCTCCCTCGGGCTCCGGGCGAGGTGGTGGTGACCAGTGGTTCTGCAGGCGGGCTCACGTCTCTCTGACGGTGCATGCGGAGCATCCTTTCACTGCCTGCCAGGCACTCTCAGGCTGGTTTTGGTTTGGATGAGGTTGTCCCTCCCATTTCGTCCGCCCTCGCCCTCCCGCGCCTCAGTCCCAGGAGCCGCTGATCTCGTCCAGCTGCAACCGTGGGCCCGGCTGGACGGCGGCAGAAGAAGGAGCCCAAGAGTTTGGCAACAGCTGTCCAGCCGGTTGGCGCCCCGCACATCGTGCCTCTGGCTAGCAGAGTTTCTCCGTGGAAAAGAAGCCCCTCCAGCTTTCTCTTGATCATGTAGCGCTCGCGCTCTGACATTCCCTCCCCGGAGACTGCACTCAGCTCCGGGGACAGGGTGGTGACACACTTCTGCCCCCGGCCCGGCTGTCCTGGGGGCGGAGCTTGGGGAATCCGAGGAGCCACCCAGGGCTCAGCGCCTGTCGGGCCAGAGCGCCGGCCAGCAGGCGAGCGGGCGCGCCACTAGCTACAGCCCACCCATAGCTGGGATACCCAGGCACGGAATTGAGTCCCTGAAGGGACGCTCAGGCTGCGCCCCTTTTTCTGCCCTGGCTCAGTTCTTGGCTGAGTTGGGAGGGCACACTGCTCAGAAGTCCTCGCCAGGAGCTGCTGGGGTGTCGGTGCCCCGACCGAGTGACAACTCACTGCCTAGGGGCTGCAAGCCGAGGAGCCACCAAGGAAACAGCTGTTCCCATGGCTTTTCCTGTGCCTGGAATGGGACTCCGGATTGGGCGCTGGGACGCTTGCTATTGCCTTGTCCAAGTTTCACAGCACTTACGTTGTTGACTAGAATCCTGGGCCAATCAAGAGTCAAGTTCAAAGTGGTACTACTGGGTTTTCCATCCCAGACTCCAACTAATCACTGGAAAAGAGGGACTTTCTGCCCTAAGTAGTAGATCTTCGTTCTGGAATTGGACTTGACAGCTCCCATCAATACTTGCACTGCAGTAGATACGGGATTATTGTATCTAGGCCCAGGGGCTACTCGGAAGACCAGACCACAACTCCCAGAAGCTGGACAATGGACCGAGTTTATGAAATTCCTGAGGAGTCAAATGTGGATCCGACTTCATCTCTGGAGGAAGATGTCATCCGTGGGTCCAACCCCCGGTTCACCTTTCCGTTTGGAATCCTCTTCTCCACCTTTTTGTACTGTGGGGAGGCTGCATCTGCCTTGTATATGGTTAGAATATATCGAAAGAATAGTGAAACCTATTGGATGGCATACACCTTTTCCTTCTTTATGTTTTCATCCATTATGGTCCAGTTGACCCTCATTTTTGTCCACAGAGATCTGGCCAAAGACAAGCCACTATCATTGTTTATGCACCTAATCCTCTTGGGACCTGTTATCAGGTGAGCAACTTTTTAATCTCTTCCCTCCCACCTCCCCCAGATTTGTACAGATAAAGATGAAGCTAATTTTTACAAGACTGATTCTGTGCTTCCAATCTAATTGAATCTCTCCTTCCCTCCCAGTCTTGGCTTCCCTCTGACCATCCTCCCACAAATCTTATCTGAAATCTTAAATGCCACCATGATGAATAAGGTGGCATGTTCCCGTGTTCCAAAAATGATGTATGGGACCATTGTAAGACTTCCTTAGACAACATTGATCTCTGGATTGGGTTGTGAAATTAGTATGGGACCAACTGACATGGTCACATGTGCGCTTCAGAGTGTGCTATTTTGATTCTACCTCTTACACTCTATAAATTGGATGAAAGTTCCTCCCCCGCTCCATCCCATTTCACATTCAGTTTTTCACCCTGAGCTGCCTGGGGTGGCAATGCTGCCATTTTCAATTTTTCCAGAATTATTTAACATCTAGAAAATATTTTAAGCCCTCTGTGGTCATCTGGTACCCCAGCCCATTGTAGTTCATTTTCCTCTGTCAGTTCATCATTCGCCTGTTAATTTTGTTATATCTTTATGCTATGAAGGTACATGGTTAGAAGGGGGCAAAGGAAGATAGTCCATCTCTCCATTTGGATGCTGTAGCACAAAATAATATTACCAAGTCTTTCCATTCAGATTGCCTTGATTGGACAAGATTGAGCCTTATCATAGGGAGACAGGCATCTGTGTCATCAGTCTCATCTGGTCACTGTGGGACCTTCAAGGTAGGGAGATGTTGCACAACTTATGAGATCAGGAGGAAAGAATGGGCCAAGTTTGTCTTGATTACATGAGGCAGGAACCTGCAGTCAGCTGAAGAATATGGGTCAGAGTGTTGGTGTTGAAATTGCAATGGGAAGATATTTCATCCTTAAAGAACTAAACACAGTCTGAAATGGATTGAGGAGGAAACTCCCTCCTTATATATTTTTTAATGAATGTGTATTTAAACAGAAGAAACTGATTAGGTTTTATAAGTGAAAATATGGGATAGCAACAGAAATGGTAGCCTACAATTCAGAAGACCTGAAATCTAGTCCTCCCTCTGTCATTGACTGGTTGCATGGCCTTGTTGAAATCTCTGAAGATGCCTTGGGCCTCAGTTCCTTCATCTGTAAAATAAATGGTTTGGGTTAGATCTTGGGTCTCAAGGTCAAATGCTTATAGGGGCCAGACAGGTATCATAAATGAGTGACGTGGGTTAAGTGTGAGAAAATCAGTACCTCGTGTGTGTGATGATAAATGAAAATGAAGCCACAATGTTATAGAAGTGATGGAGAGTAGTGAATACTGGGTGATCTCCAGTCCACACAATTTGCCTAGAGAGGGGAGCTGCCCCACAGCTCCAACCCATTGTTTCCCTGTTGGAATTCAGATCCAGTATTGCCAGATCCCCCAGCTTTTAAAGAGAGGCCCCAAGACATGATTTTATCATGATTTTTAGTGTTGGCAGGTAGTTAAATAAAAACATGGTATGATCCAAACCACATCTGTTGGTCAGATGTGACTCAGTTGGCCTAGATGGAAACTTTGGACTAGGTAACCTGAAGGTTCTTTCCAGTTCTAAATCTTTGAAGTTAGGCTGTAAAAGGAAGACCTCATCTTGAACTTGAAAACAAGAAATTTAGAGATGTCACTAGAAGGGCAAGTAAGCCATTCTTCTCTCCCTTTTCAAGTGCAATGTATCCAGCTGACAGACAGGGCACTCTCAAGATGCAAATTTCAGCTAGTAATGCCCCAGTCCTTGGTTCCACTTCCCTAGTACGCTTTGTGACAGCCATCTTTGATTTGAACCCTCCAGACGGAGTACGGAATACTACTGGGTATCATTTTTTGTCTTTAGCTTCCACTAGAAATTATTAGAAAGTACATATAATCTCATTCAGCTAACCCACAGCAGGGAAAAATAATTAAAAATTCCAAAGTTATGTCCTTGATATTCTCAAGGCAAATTATTTTTTTAGGTAGATAGGATCTTGACTAATACTAGCAGGCACATGAAGGTGTTTGGAGGGCTTGGCTCCCTTGTATGAAATGCAAACCCACTTCTGGAAATGAAAATGCACTCTAATTTACTGAAGCTCATAAGGAAGGCAGCCACTCTTACTTAAACCAGTCAATAACTTTAAGAAGAGAAGCGTAATCAGAATGCTTCAGGCTACCACCTCCCCCAATATTTTATTCAGTAACAGCATTCATGAGCTTCGATTATAATCTATTATCTTTTATTGGAAATGAACTTACTGATTTTCCCTGAATAGGAAGAGAATGACACTTTTTCTTCTCTATTCTCTCCTTCTGTCTTTTTCTCTCCTGGGTTCTAGAATTTGTCTCTAGAAAGTCAGTGTTCCAAACTATGCACTTCGGACTGGCATGCCTGTGCCAATCTTAGAGGGATCCTGTGGAGAAAGCAACCAGCAAAAATTCCAGACCTTCCTATTGGGAGTCAAGGCCTTGAGAGCATATTAATCTTTGAGAGTGTCTCTGGCCTGTTTTTCTGTTAAATTACATTGTCATTATTATCATCCTCTACCCCCATCCTTTCACACCCTGCATTCTGTTCTTCCTTCTCACTCTTTCATTTACTTAGCAAATATTTTATCAACTCCCCACTATGTGATAAGGGCTGTGGGCAAAACAAATACAAACCCTGGCCTCAGTCTATCATCTGGAAAGATGTCCTTATTTTCGCCACAAACGTTCTTACTTGACATAAACAAAAATAATCCCTAGTTTCCATTCATCTCAGTATGAATGGAGGAAGTGGTAACTTAGGTGTTCCAAAACAAGATGTTTTAGATGTTTCTCTTCTGTTCACCACATCAGAACTGCTAAACGCTTCTTTTTTATATGGGGGAGGTGGGAGAGGAGCACAGCAGGAAATGTGGTCTTATCACTACTTCACAGGTGCTGTCCTGAGGATGTTTTCCTGTTTGTGAGGAAGGAATCAACTTTAAATGGCTGTTGTCACCACGCAGGTTGAGACCCCTAAATCTTTTGAGGTTCGCTACATACATAGTTCATTCGATTCTGAGTTGTTAAGTTTTTCAAGTACTTTCATTGTTAATTATCCTTCCTGTATATATAAGAGGGTTTTTCTAGATCCCCTCCAGGATTTCTGGCTGAAACACCTATAGTTTTAGGCTCTGTGTTGAAGAAGCAGAACTCAAAAACCCCATAGTTGGAGCTGAACACTTTGAATAAGGAATGCTTTATGTCAGAAAGTTGAGGTGTTATGAAAACCAGGAACTTTTTGGAACCTTCATTATTCTCTCTCAACACATTACTTATTTAATATCTTTGTTTTTCAAGGTACTTTTCTACCATAGGCCTATCCTCAAGTAGACAAAGCAATTCCTTAAGTCCTCAAAGAAATACTTCTGGTGTTTATGGGTTGGTCACTGACTGACAGAATGAAAAAGGATTTAGACTCAAGTAACTTCTAGAAGGCATGACCAGCTCTTTGATTCAAGGGAAATGAGTAGAATGGTAAGAAAGCTATGGCAAATGGCAGCACGACCCCCTGAGTTATGTTTTTCCCTTCACTACAACCTCCCTTCCCGGGACAGCTTTAGTTAAGTTCGCGTGATGCTTTACTTCTGCAGATGTTTGGAGGCCATGATTAAGTACCTCACACTGTGGAAGAAAGAGGGGCAGGAGGAGCCCTATGTCAGCCTCACCCGAAAGAAGATGCTAATAAATGGCGAGGAGGTGCTGATAGAATGGGAGGTGGGCCACTCCATCCGGACCCTGGCTATGCACCGCAATGCCTACAAACGTATGTCACAGATCCAAGCCTTCCTGGGCTCAGTGCCCCAGCTGACCTATCAGCTCTATGTGACCCTGATCTCTGCAGAGGTCCCCTTGGGTAGAGGTGAGTGGGGTCAGGAGAGGGAGGGCTTCATTTAAATCAACGGTCTTAGAAATCTAGACTTGAGTTGTCCAATCACTGGCTGCAAGCTCCATGTGGCTATTTAAATTAAAATGAAGTAAATATAAAAATGTATTTTCTTAATCATACGAGCCACATTTCAAGTGCTCAATAGCCACATGAGGCTAGAGGTATTATAGAACATTTCCATCACACAGAAATTTCTATTGGACAGCACTGGGAGATAAAGAACTTAGTGAGCTACACCTTATAGGCTTGTCAGATTTCTTAAACAGAGGTAAAGCTGTTTAGAATAAACATGTCACAGATAAACTCTGTCTGCACAGAGCATTTAAATTCTACTGAGGATCTTGGGTTTTGTTTGTTTGGTTTTCATTTAGGGATCACTATCTTTAAATGAGAGGTTCCCAGATATTGCTGATCATGGGAGACATATTCCTGGGTAAAATCTCCTTTTAAAAATTACATTCCCTCTTCAGACCTGAATCAATCTGTGGGGAGGCCAGGAATCTCTATTTTTGGAAAGTACCCCAGTTGATGATGAGTCACATTTGGGGAGTACTGATTTAATCACTTCTTCCAATTCCAGTGGGGAGAAAGATAAGGGGGTGTAGGATGAATACTGATGAGAGGCAGGCCTGGTCCCAGTTTTAATCTTCTCTGTGATCTTTGGAGGAAGTTACCAAAGAGGTCACTGTCTTAATTTCCCTCTTGTAAAAGAGGGATCCTGATATGAGTAAGAACTCGAGCAGAGATGAAAAGTAAGTCAGTTTTCAAAGTTGAGATAAAGTACTGTTGAGGAGTTTTAACAGCCTGGGAATAACTTCATCTGCTTGGGTAGCAGCTGGTGTGGCTGGGTAGAGCTCTGGACCATCTCCTTATTAGGTGCCGACCCTGCCCCACAAGCCCTATGTCTTGAATAAATGTAATGAAGAAATTTGCCCTCTTTCTCCTTTTCTCCACTGAGAATTGTTTCTAAAGTTCGATTGGTCTTAAAGCTTTCACAGACCTAAAATTGATAGGAATGTGAGGAGAAAAACTTTGGGAAATGCTGTTGCTGAGAATTTTGAGGGTCATTAAATTAATTTAAAATGTATACATCACAAAAATTGTATATGATGCAAACTGATATGCCCAGAAAGTTTCTGGAAAGATATGCAAGAAATTATTTATCTCAGAGGAAGTGGAAATGAGAAGTCAACTGACTTTTACTTTTTACTTTACACCTTTCTATGTGGTTTGAAATGTTTACCATAACCATGTACTACTAGTTTTGGTTCTTATTTTTTTAATTATAAAAACCAGAAATTGTCATGGTAAAGGTTCAAAACTGTACAAAATATATATAAAATAGGAGATGTAATCTCACTCCCCAAGGGTAGTCTTCCAGACTTCTTTTTATATGGAATATAAAAATACATACAACATATATATATACACACATATATACACCATACATAGATATAAAACATACATATATATATGCACAAGACACACATATATTTACCAAAAAATTCTGAGTTAAACATGCTTTTCAATCTTTTCAAAGTATGCCAATATATATTTCTTCAATGGCTGTGTGTGTGAGTGTGTGTGTGTGTGTGTGCGTATACACATATATATGGAATATATTTTCCCCTTATGTGAATTAGATTACCTTTTCCCCTAACCTTCTGCTGCTAGCATTAAAGTTTGCTTCTTATTTTTCCACGCAATTTTTTCTAATTAAACACTAAATTCCAATGAACATCTTTGTAATTAGCTGTGTACTGCACATAAGACTTTGTAGGATGAATTATTAGCAGTGGAATTGCTGAGTGGAAAGGATATGCATATCTAGAAATTTATCTTTGTGACCAAATAATCCTCCCAAAAGGTTGTATGAATTTATATTCCCACCAACAATGAGTGAATGTGCCTTGCCTTTATCTTCATACCGTAAACTAAATATTATTTAGTTGTGCAATTATAAAATATCTGATTGTTTTATAATTTGCTTTCTTTCAGTGTGAGTGAAACTGAGCACCTTTTCATGTTCAGTCATTGTGTGCATTCTTTAATTGCTTATTTATATATTTTACCATTTAAAAAATTTTTAATTTTTTTTACATAGAAGAACTGGGGTGTAAGCCAGAGGTATAGAGGATGAGAGGATTCACCTGACAGAGTGGGGAGCAGAACAGGAAAATTTACTGAAGGGAGCAGTAGGAGAGAGAAGAGAGGTCTCCTGCACTGTATGTGGGCTAGCTCCCTGGCCAGGGATCAAACTCAGTTCCTAGTGGTGATAGCACTGAGACTTAACTCCACCAGGGAAGCCCCTTTTACCCATATTTTTCTAGTGGGTGTTTGTATTTTTCTTATTAATTTGTAGGAGCTACTTACTTATCTGGCTATTAATCCTTTCTCTGCTGTGGATTTAGTGTATATGTATATGTACATGTACATATATATACATGTATATAATTTTGTGTGTACATGTGTACACATAGATCATGAAAACATATATGCATGACATACATATAATACATGGTGGACACACATGTGCAACACAGTGGGTATAATATACACAAATGCTTGGAACATATTCTGGCATATTCAATTTTATATATTTAAATTCTTTACTTTTCTTAGATCTTGTGCTTGTCTTACAAAGTTCCTTCACAACTCATATTTGGTAGAGAAATTTAGCCTGGTCTTCCAAATAGATAAATTTCCATGATCAACTTCTCAATTCTCCCAACAAAACAAAACAATAACAGAAGAAAAGAGCATTTCATTGATATTCTGATTGAATTGCATTAAATTATTTAGGTTATTTTGGAGGGAATTTGCATCTAGATGGAACTAATCAATTTATATTAGAAGATACTATTTCTTTCCAATTCATAATATATATTTAAGCCACATTTATTGAGATGCAATTGACAAGCAAAAACCTGTACCTATTTAAGATATATAACTTGATGAGTTTGGAGAAATTCCATGAGTTTTATACATGAATTATCACTATTAGTCATTATTTTTATTTTTATTTTTTTTTATAGAGGCATGTTTTTATTTATTTGTTTGTTTGTTTGTTTGTTTATACATGCACTGGGTACAGTCAGAAGTGCGGGAGGGTGAGAGAATTCACCAGAGCCAGAGTGGGGAGCAGAGCAGGCAGAAGGACCGAAGTACACTGCTGAGGGGAGCAGCGGGCGGCAGGAGAGGTCTGCGCGCCAGTCATTATTTTTAAATATACTTCAGTTGGCTTTCTTGTCCATCTTTATAAGGTTTAGTCCTAGGTTTTCTATTTTAAAATCACCTGATTTCCTAAGTGTCAGGGTAGTGCCCAAGTGAAATAAATGTACTTACTACACTCTTGGAAATAGGAAACGATGATGATGGTGGTGGTGATAGCAGCTAGCAGGTAGCATGTAAGGATTTCTCTAAGTCCTTTACATGTAATTATTTCATTTAATCTTCACAACAACCCTATGAGATAATTATTGTTTTTATTCCCATCTTACAACTGAGGAAACAGCATTGAGAGGTCAAGCTTCAAGCTTCCCCAAGTTTCCGTAAATAGTGGGTGGCAAAGAATGGATTGGCATCCAGGATGTCTGCTTTCAGAGCCTGTGTTTCTAATAAATTCAATTTACAAAGGCTGTCAGGGAAGGTCTTGTTTTCAATTATTTACTGATTTCTCCCATTGAAAACTGTCTGATAATTCCATCTCTTTCAAGGTTTCGTGAAAAACTTTTTGGTTTAGTTTTCCTCCTGTCTTTTCCCTGCTATCCCTTTCTGGTCCCTTTTTCTCTTGGAGGCCATCTGAATCAGCATGGATGAGCAAATTTATTAACAGTGTCACGATCTCTTATGGCATGAGACTATTTGTAGGGAGACAGATGGAAGATGTTTTTCACATTTATTGGAAGCATCAGGCTTTCTTCCTTTTATTACACTACTGTCAATAAATGAGTTCTAATTTGGGGAAAGCATCACCACACTTGGTTAGACTTGCCTACACTCCATGTTCCCAATCTACAAGGAGCATTAATTCTTGAGGATGCGATTGAGTGGTCTATAGGCTAAGAATATATGAAATCATTGTCCTGTGCAACTTTAACTAATATAAGGCTATGTGTCAATTATCTATCAAACTGGAACAAATAATAAATAAAAATAAAGCCAAGAGCAGCCACTTTAAGAGAGGCTCCCACCTTTGAGATTTCAATACTCTAATAGAGCGGAAAAACATCTTGCAAACAAAGCTGGGCGTTCGCTCCTTTGGAGTGTGTTTCTTTGTTCCTTTTGAGTTTCCATGGGGAGGTCTTCGCTTTCCCTGCAAATTAAATTAACATCTCCATGAGTCTACTTACGTGGATCCAGTGTTTTTATGAGAACAGAAAGCTCTGTCTTCTCTTTTGGATGAGTACTCCTCAGGCCTCCCACGGATGTTGAAAGTACTAGATTTTTCTTAGTGATTGGTGCCCTTTGATAAAAAAGGAAGAAAAGGAACAGGCAACTGTGTGATCTATAGTTGAAACTTAGTAGATCAGGATAGAGAACATTCTGACCCTCAGGGCCCCTACTCCGGCTGGTATGGATGTTACAGGCTAGAATACAGCATTTTAAATTTTGAAACCACTCTGCTGGGAGTTTGTGGATTTCCAAAATACACCAGAGCATTGGGGTGATGAATTGACGTTGCTGAGGACTAGCACAAACAACTCTAGAGTATCTCAGTGAATTGGGAAACTGAGCCTCACAGATATTCAGTGACTTTCACAAACTCCCACACAGCTGAACCAAGAACTCCTAATTGTAGGTATTTTTTGCTGTTTCTCTAAACTCATAAATCTTCATTAATAGCAAAAACATGTATTGAATACCTACTGTATTCTGGGCAACATGTTAGCCTCTGAGACTACAGTGGCGACCATGAATTTCCAGTATACATTTTGATATGTTCTGTCAGGACACACAAACGAGACCAGTTCCTTAAGAAGATATACATCAGAGAAGGAAATTCTGTTACCAAAGGCATTCTCTATGAGTCCCCTAGTCCTAGATTTGTTCAAATGGGGTTCTGTCTGCCTCCTTCAATATTTACTTGGAAGCCTGTTTCATTAGATGCTACTCTTTCCCTTAGTATATGTTCTTTGTTCTTCTCAAGTTAATGATCTAATGCTATTAATACATCTGAGACCTACTCTTTTTTTAAAAGTTCATTTCGTGTATTCATATGACTATTAAAATACTATAGTGTATATTCATCATGGGAAATTTAGAAAACAGACAGATAAAAGGTCTAAAAATGGGTATAATCCCCATCCCCAAATATGTATATTTTGGCATTTTCCTTTCCATTCTCTCTCCTTCTGCATGCCATTTGTTTGTGTAGCTGTGATTTCACATGAGTGTGCTCTTAACCGAGGCCCTCAAGTCTCACCTGTCAGCTCTTTGGACCTCTAGCTCAGAGCATAAGCTTCGCCACTGACATGGACTGATGACCTATTTCTTCTTTTTTTCTTGCAGTTGTGCTAATGGTCTTTTCCCTGATATCAGTCACCTATGGGGCTACTCTCTGCAATATGTTGGCCATCCAGATCAAATATGATGAATACAAGATTCGCCTTGGGCCACTGGAAGTCCTGTGCATCACCATTTGGCGGACATTGGAGATCACTTCCCGCCTCATGATTCTGGTGCTCTTCTCCGCCACCTTGAAATTGAAGGCTGTGCCCTTCTTGTTGCTCAACTTTCTGATCATCCTCTTTGAGCCTTGGGTTAAGTTCTGGAGGAGTGGTGCCCAGATGCCTAATAATATTGAAAAAAACTTCAGCCGGGTTGGCACCATGGTGGTATTGATTTCTATTACCGTTCTCTATGCTGGCATCAACTTCTCTTGCTGGTCAGCCTTGCAGTTGAAGTTGGCAGACAGGGACCTTGTTGACAAAGGTCAGAACTGGGGACATATGGGCCTGCACTATAGTGTGAGATTGATAGAGAATGTGATCATGGTCTTGGTTTTTAAGTTCTTTGGCGTGAAAGTATTGCTGAATTACTGTCATTCCTTGATTGCCTTGCAGCTCATTATTGCTTATCTTATTTCCATTGGCTTCATGCTCCTTTTCTTCCAGTACTTGCATCCATTGCGCTCACTCTTCACCCACAATGTGGTAGATTACCTCCACTGTGTCTGCTGCCACCAGCACCCCCAGGGCAGGGCTGAAAACTCCCAGCCATCCCCTGAAACTGAGGCAAGGCAAAGCGTTATTTGATTATATTCTGGGTGTTTAGGGATGGATTGGGGGTTGTGAAATTGAAAGGGTGAATGAAGATCCTGGGTGAGACTTCAGCAGGATGTTTTCTTGAGTTTTCTGGTAAGCTTATCAGAAGAAAGAACAGCCCCACATAGGTTTTTTATTTCCTCAAGATTGACTGCTATGTTTAGAAACCAGGGTGATCACTTTATGCCCAGTAGGGGTCAGAGATACTGTTCATACTCCTCCCATCCAGGTCAGATGTCTGACTGCCCTTTGGGATTACTCACCTCCATGCACCTTCAGCTGTCTGGGACCTTGTAACTCTGCTCATTTGTTGAAGCATTGCTGAATTTTCCCAGGGCCAAGTCGATGACCATGAATCCCACCAGAATATATCCTGACTGTTCAGGGGATGTGATTGCTTACTACCTATGGGTCACTCCCAGGAAACAGCCTAACTAATGCATAACTGGGGTCTTTTAATTCCGGTGAGAAACTCTGGTTAAGAAGAAAACCACAGTATTATAAGAGCAACTCTTCAAGTGTGTCTGCTCTCAATTAGGATTTTACTAGTGATCATTCATCCAGGCCTCTCTTTCAGCAGCCCTTCATCAGCACACTCTGTGGTGGGTGAGCAGAAAAGAGTTCCTTAAAGACATAAGCCAGAAAGACTGATTTTCTCAGGGACCTGCATCGACCTCCAGTTGGTTGAGTGGAGGGGTTGAGTAGAATCTCTCACTTCATGCCTCATTATCAGAGATTCCTGCCCCAGCTTTTCTGTGCTGTTGACATTTTACTACTTGATGTTCACCTCAGAGAAGCGGAATTGTAATTGAAAATGTTTCTAATGTGTGGAAGAAATGAAGACTGCTTTGTGTCTGCTACTATCCTGAGTATTTTGTTGATTTATGTTGTTTTTTTTTTTTTTATGGGAGAGAGGAGCTAATAATAGTTGGGAGATCAACTTCTTGTTGTTCTGGGTTGGAAGGGTTGTCTAACTTTCCAAGGTAAGGCAGAAGAAGAAAACTGGATCACATGAAATCATCATTGATACTGGTTTCTGCCCACGGTTTTATTTTCTGATTAGGACATATGTTTACCAACCCTCGGTTCAGTCCCACACCAGAAGGGATGAGTTCAGTTCTCCCTTTCTCATGTGTATCTCATTGTTTGCCTCTCATATCAGTTGAATACTTTGATAGGATGTTGGCTGGATGTCTCTAAGGTAACCAGGGAATCGAGAGGACTATGGTCACTGCTTATTAGGACTTAGTATCTCAGCATTTACCTAACTAATGCTACCCTCTCACATACCAGAAAAGTGATAAGAACTGCTAGTAGCGTGTACCAGTTGAGGAATTGTGAACAATCTGACCTAAGGCTTCTCATCCTCACCTAATTTTATTGTTGGGATCAGGAGAAGAATTATATCTAGCCATTCCTCTCTCTCTCTTTTTTTTATTTTTTTAATTTTTTTTTTTTAAAGATTTATTTATTTATTTATTTATTTATTTATTTTTATACAAGCTCTGGGTACAGTCAGAAGCGCAGGAGGGCGAGAGAATTCACCAGAGCCAGAGCAGGGAGCAGAGCAGGCAGAAGGACCGAAGCACACCGCTGAGGGGAGCAGTGGGCGGCAGGAGAGGTCGCGCGCCATGTGGGACCCTCCTCAGGTGGCCGGGGAGCAGCCGGGGATCGAACCGGCACAGCAGAGGCTGTGGGCAGCTTCGCAACCCAGTGCTCAACCGCTGCGCCACGGGGGAGGCCCCTCTCTCTTTTTTTTAAAAGATTTATTTATTTATGCATACAAGAACTGGGGTACAGGCCAGAGATGTAGGGGGTGAGAGAATTCACCAGAGAGAGCGGGGAACAGAACAGGCAGATGGACTGAAATACACTGCTGAGGGGAGCAGCGGGCGCGGCAGGAGAGGTCTGCGCACCATGTGGGACCCTCGCCGGTGGCTGGGGAACGAACCGGGATCGAACCGGGAACGAACCGGGAACGAACCGGGAACAAACCGGGAAAGAACTGGGAACGAACCAGCGCTGCAGAGGCCGCAGAGGCCGCAGAGGCCAAGGGCAGCTTTGCAACCCAGCGCTCAACCGCTGTGCCACCCGGGGAGGCCCCATTCCCCTCTCTCTTATTTCAGTGTCAGAACATGAAGTTGGAGGAGCTGCCTCTTTTAAGTAGGGGGGACTGTGAGCCAGAATAGCCCTACTTCTTGACATGTCTCGGATGGGTTTCCCAACTTCAACAATTGTTTGGGATTAAAAGGATTGAGCATTCAGTTTGGGAGAGAGTGAAGTGACTTGCTTAGGAGTAGTAGAATTTCCTTTTTTGAACCCAAGTCCCTCATTTCATCTTTCATTATGAAGAAGACATTTAGGTGGTTGTCATAAAAAGCCTATACTGCTGCCTTCTGACTGTGTTATTCAAGATGAATTTGAATTAAATAATCTGTCAGACCTTCAAGAACACACTGCCTCTTTGGAATTCAATCAGGAATTTCTCCCCAGTGGTTAATATGCCCTCATTAAGGGTAGGAGCAGTGTGGAACTATAATTTGGTCCATTAAAACCATGTGAATCAGCTACTTCAGGGGCGGGTGCTATGGGAACATACAGAGAGACACCCACTGAGCCAGGCAGGCCAATTAGAGTGGAGGATACATAGGACAGAAAAGTGTGCCTTGGCACTTGCCAGACGAGGCATATTTTTCCCAGGCATCCTCCCAGTCCCAGTGACTTAATAACCTGTGAATGTAGGGAGTTTAGGGCAAGGGGTGTGGGACAGCTTCGGACCTGAAAAACCTGTTGCCCTTACTCAAGGAGAAGAGACTCTAGTGATATGTTATGCAGATGAACTATCAGAACCTCCTATAAGTGGTGGCCTTTCTGTCCCATAACAACATTCTAGATCCACAGAAGAAGAAATTTTGGAATATGGTGGTAGGGCAGAAGAAGGGCACCCTTCCATCTGCAAACACATCTTTAGTTGACTAGTCTCTTTATGCTCTGAAATCTTAAAGCAACTCAGACAGGGTACTTGTGTAGGAGCAGGTCTTAATGAGTGGGAGAGGAGGCAGAGGTGGAACCAGCAAATTAGTTTCGGCAAAGGAAGGCAGAACCACAAAGTTTGGGAGCTAGACCATTGTAAAAACAGCTGTTCTGATGTCATTGGAAATTCAGTAGGTTAAGTATGGGCAAGTAAGCATGTTAAGGAAATGTATTAAATAAATTAATAGTTGTCAATTGCATTTGCTCCAAAAATGCTTTAACACCATGGGCATTTGAACCGTGAGGTGCTGTAGGAGAATTAAATCATCACTAATATTTATGATCATTTGCTATATGTCTGGCTGGGTGCTTTTTTTTTAAAAATATTTATTTATTTATTTATGCATACAAGAACTGGGGTACCGGCCAGAGGTGTGGTGGGTGAGAGGACTCACCAGAGACAAAGAGTGGGGAACAGAACAGGCAGATCAACAGAAAAACACTGCTGAGGGCGAGTCAGGAGAGGTCTGCTCAGCCATGTGGGTTGCTCCCTGGCCGGGGATCAAACTCGTGCTGCAGATAGCTTCATAGGTTGCGTCTTAACCCCTTGTGCCACCAGGGAGGCCCTGGCAGGGTGCTTTGTATGTGGGATTTCATTGAATCCTAAAACCAATTCTTAGTAGTTACTGTTATTCCCTATAGTACAGAGGAAGATTCTAAGGCATAGAAAAGTGAAGTGACCTGACCAAGTTCACAGTAATGTCAAAGCCAAGATTGAGTCTTAGGTACTCAGGCAAGATCTCACATTCTTAATTGTGACATAAACCTGGGTCCTTTGTGAAATTATTTTAATATTTGTGGATTTAGGAAAATATTGGGGCTATGGCTGAGTTCATATTAAACATTCTTTGTCACAAACACTCCTTATCAGGAGGCAACTGTCATTTCACTCTGGAGAGAGAAAGGTCAAGTCCTAAAAAGTCTAGGATGGAAACCGAGCGTGTACTGAGGCAAACTTCTAGGTTGGCATTGGGAGTTTGGGAGGGTTGAGAAGTGAAAGCTGGGAGGATGGCAAAGGGACATATTTCCTTACTTAAAACTGGTAGAGTGTCAGAATTTTGTCTTTATGTCTCTATGTTCTTAAATACATATCTTCTAGACCCTGATCATGGCGATAAAATTAGGGGGAAAAATTCCCACGCAAGCTTGTGTGAATACTTCCCCAGAAAGCACCCAATGAGAGCAAGCTTGAAACTAAGGGTGATTCTCTCATACTGCCTCTTCCCAGCATTGCTTTTACTCCCACTGAAAAACAGACTCCTAGTTTTAGGGTGGGCCAGGGAATATGGATCGTGGAGAACCACACCACACTACCCCGCTCCAGCTGTTGCAGTCCTGAAAGCCTAGGTCAACTTTCAGTGCTCACTAAGGTAACCCCTCACCCCTGTATCTCACAAGACCGTGGTCCTCCTTAGCATTACACAATTGTTGCTTCTTGGGTAAGGGTGGGATGAGTGGAACTAAGGGTATTCACCTGGACATTCCAGCTAAACTTTCTGGGGCCCTGTTTTTGAGAAGCCCTTTAGTAAAAAAAACAAAAAAACAAAAAAACAAACACTTGACTCTGGACCTTCCAAAACATGTAATGATCCAAGGGTGGGGAATCCCCATTCGCTGAAGCTTTTGCTAATGGTTTCTATTACAATTTTCAGGGGACACACATGTCCACAATCTTATCATGCCTTACCTCTTGAAACAATGGCACCATCACTTACACCCTTTAGACCTTAAAGCCTCTGGGGTGCACATATGGAGGAAAAAATGCAACCGTAACGTTGCATAGGTATGTAAATGATGGGGAAATTAATAAAAATATTTTTAAATCCTTAGTTTTTTTCTGCTCTCTTATTCTTATTTCCAAAGAGCCCCTTTTTGTTCTCTGATTGTTCCTTTAAAAAATAACAACCCATTCTTGTTTATGTCTTATTGCTATGAATACTAATGTTTTAAAAATTCTTTTCTTTTCCCTATGTAGTAGACACCTGGCAGACATGCTTTACATCCTCTCACCTCACCATTTAACCCAGCCATTCATTGCTGTGGCAACCAGATTCTTGCAGGTGTAATCGGACAGTAT